CCAGGAGTGGCCCAAAAAACAAACAAAAGAAATCAGGAAAAAAGGAACGCCAGGTCAGGGAAAAAAATGGGCCCTTCCTGATTTGGGGGTGGGGCCATGATCCAGCACCTCACTGTTCTCTAGGGAGTCTGCAGGACTCAGCAAGGTGCTTGCCCTGTGTGAGACCCACGTGTGTTCAATCCCATCCTATGTGGTCCACTGAGCATCGTCAGGAGTGATCCCTGAGCATCGCCAGGTATGGCCCCCAAACAATGGTTGGACAGAATACAAGGTTTAAGGTGCTTACATCAGACTCCGCGCCAGGCTGTTTTCACTCAGGGCGCCCCAGAGGGGGGCAGGTGAGAACCCTCCCCGCCCCAAGGGGCCCAGCCCCCGCAGCCAACCTTCACAACCCAAGCACCACCACACTCCAGGTCACTTTCCAGACCATTATAAGACATTTCCTACCCATTTTCCATAACTACTACACTATACTTGATGGGGTTCAGACATTAGGCAACAAATTATAGAGAGAAATATATATATATATATATATATATATATGTATATGCCTCTCGGAGAGTCCAGCAAGCTACTAAGACTATGCTGCCCACACTGGCAGAGCCTGGAAAGGTACCCATGGCGTATTCGATATGCCAAAAATAGTAACTATGACAGATCTCATTCCCCGGGATAAATAGAGACGTTACTGGTGCCCGCTCAAGTAAATCGATGAACAATGGGATGACAGTGATACAGTGATACATCTGACCCGTTTTTAAAAAAATTTGGGGGGGAGGGGGAGCGGAGAATCATACCCGGTAGTGCTCAAGGGCTTACATCTGGCTCTACTCTCAGGGATCACTCCTGGCAGGCATGAGGGACCATATGGGATGCCAGGAATTGAACCCAGGTCTGCCTCCTGCAAGGCAAATGCCCTACTTGCTACACTATCACTCTGGTCCCCTGACCCATTTCATCTCTGGCACTGCATGACCCCCAAGCATGCTGGGAAAGACCCTCAAGAACAGAACTGGAGGGGCTGGAGCAATAGCACAGCGGGTAGGGCGTTTGCCTTGCACGCAGCCAACATGGCTGACACAGGTTCGATTCCCAGCATCCCATATGGTCCCCCGAGCACTGCCAGGGGTGATTCCTGAGTGCATGAGCCAGGAGTAACCCCTGAGCATTGCCGGGTGTGATCCAAAAAGCAAAAAAAAAAAAAAAAAGAACAGAACTGGAATGAACCCTGAGCGCTGCCAGGTGTGGTCCAAAATCCAAAATAAAACAATAATTTTTTGGGGGGGGGTCACACCTGCCAATGCACAGGGGTTACTCCTGGCTCTGCACTCAGGAATTACTCCTGACGGTGCTCGGGGGACCATATGGGATGCTGGGAATCAAACCCACGTCAGCTGTGTGCAAGGCAAACGCCATACCAGATGTGCTATCACTCCAGCCCCCATTTAAAAAAAAAAAAAGATGGGCCCAAACAATAGTACAGTGGGGAGGGCATTTCCCTTGCATGTATGTGGCTGACCCAGGTTCAATACCCAGTATCCCAAATGGTTCCCTGAGCACCGCCAGGAGTGATCCCTGAGCGCAGAGCTGGAAGTAAGCCCTGAGTAGCACGGGCGTGCCCCCTCCCCAAAATATATGCGGTCAGAAGGACCAAGCCAAGGCTTGCTCCGCCCCTTTGTGCCCCATCACCTAGAGAAACGCAGCAGCTTGTGTCTGTACCTCTACCCACACCCCTCAGGACACCTCTGCTTTGGTTGCAACATCTGGCCCGTTGTGCCTTTCCTGTGCCCTGCAGCAGGTGCCCTGTGAGATGCCCTTCTCGGCATCTGTACCCCGAGATCACATAGATGCCTGCTCCCCTCAGGAGACTCCTAGACACACCCCACCCTGCGTGATCCCAGAACCTTCCTTACGCCCCCAGACCAGCTTCCCTGTCTTCTCTCTCTGCGTTTGGGCCACACGTGGAAGTGCAGTGCTGGGGGTGCCGTATGGGATGACTGGGATCAAGCTCAGGTCAGCCAATGCAAGGAAGGTCCTCCCTGTCTGTCTCTATCTCTCTGGTCCCCAGGGATCCCAGCTCTTGATCCTCCAGCCCCAGAGCTCCCGGGTATGTGACTGAAAGCCACGCAGTCCAGAGGGAATTAAGGGGCTGATGATAGACCATTGTTTAAGGGGAGCTCCATAAACAATACGGAGAGCTCCAAGGAGATCTGGGAGTCCTGTTGGCACAGGTGCCAAGGTCCAGGTGGCAAGAGTTTCTAAGGAGAACCAGGGCCAGTTTTTGTTATTGTTGTTGCTGTTGTTGTTATTGTTGTTTTGGGTTTGGGGGCCAGGTTTTGTTTTTATTTTGGGGGGCTTGGGGGCACTGGGGTTACTCTGGCTCTGTGCTCAGGAATCACTTCTGGCAGTGCTCAGGGACTATTTGGGGTGCCAGGGATTGAACCAAGGTCAGCTGCGTGCAAAGCAAGAGACCTCCCCGCTGTATTTTTTAATTTTATGTTTTGCTGGAGCGATAGCACAGCGGTAGGGCGTTCGCCTTACAAGTGGCCAACATGGCCAACCCGAGTTCGATTCCTCTGCCCCTCTCGGAGAGCCCGGCAAGCTACCGAGAGTATTCGATATGCCAAACACAGTAACAGTAACAAATGTTTTGCTTCTGGGTCACATCCAGTGATGCTCAATGGTTATTCCTGACTCTGTACTCAGGAATTACTCCTGGCAGTGCTCAGGGGACCATATGGGATGCCGGGAATCGAACCCAGATCGGCTGTGTGCAAGGCAAATGTCTTACCCACTGTACTATATCACTCTGGCCCCAATAGGATTTTTTGTTGTTGTTGTTGTTGCCTTTTTTGGTTCACTGCCGGCAATGCTCAGGGGTTACTCCTGGCTCTGCACTCAGGAATCACTCCTGGTGGTGCTCAGGGGACCATATGGGATGCAGGGATCAAACCCGGGTTGGCTGCATGCAAGGCAACCGCCCTACCCGCCCCACCTGCTGTGCTATCGCTCTGGACTCCTCCCCACTGATTGGCTCTCTCCAGCCCCCCAAGCTCAGGTGTGAGGGGTGAGTGGTGAATGCCTCAGATTTTGGCTCCATCCCCAGCACTGCGAAAGGGGGAAAAAATCTATCTAAAATAGGGAAATAGCTCAAAGGGGAGCTAGAGAGATAGGAAAGAGAGAAAGGCGGCTTGGCTTTCCTGCAGCTGAGCCGGGTTCAACCCCCAGAACTGCATCTGGTACGCCAGGCATCACCAGGAGTAACCCTGAGCACTGCTGGGTGTGGCCCAACCCCATCAACAGCCGACAAAAGGAATAAGTGAAAGGGCTGGGAACTCATGCTTTGCGGGCAGGAGACTGGGTTCAGTCCTTAGCACTACCAGGAATGACCCCAGCACTAAACTGGGCGGGGTCCCAAACAAAAAGTCTGAGAATCACCAAGGTGGCTGCCTGGAGGAGGGAGCTGGTGAAAAACAGGTGACCAAGAGTCTAGGGCCAGGGATGCCCCAAGGCAAGAGGAGTGCTTGTCCCGGGTATCTGCCACTCCAGGGGCACCTGTGCCTCAGCCACCCAGCCGGCTTGGGGACCAGGAACTGGTTCGCCCAGCAGGGCCTGGGATCCCGTCCCGCCCAGGTGCGCTCCCCCTCATGGGAGCCAGGCCTTGGTTTCTGGCACTGCTGCCAAGTTTTGGTCCCGCCCACCTGCTCTTCCCCAGGGCCTTGGGGGCCCGCCCAGCTTCCTAATTGCCAGGTGGGGAGATAAGGTGGACCCAGGAGTCAGGGGTTGGAGCCTGACTGAGATCGTGGCTTTGAGGGGTTCGAGAAGTGAGCACTCGGGTCCAAGAGGGACATGTGGGTCTCGGTTTGGGGTGGGGGAGGTTCCCCTCCACCCCCAAACCCAAGGAGCTTTCCAGACTTGGGCTCTGCCCAAGCAGGCCGGGGTGAGGCCAGTGGGGAGAGGCAGATGCTGACACTCCCCTGACACACCTCCTTGCCTTCACGGACAGGCAGCACCACACAGCCAAGGGCACACACCCCCTTAGAACTGGGGTGTCCCAGGGCCAGAGTCGTAATAGAGCAGGGAACACACAACCGCTTCAGGTTCCATCCTCAGCATCCCACCTGGTCCCCCGAGCACCACCAGGAGGAATTCCTGAGTGCAGAATCAGGAGGAACCCCTGAGCATGCCATGTGTGACCCACCAAAAAAAATTGGGCATCTCCATCCCATCCACCTCCTGAGTTGGACACCCCTCTCTACCCTCAGGACCCACCTATGGAAGGAGCTGCCTGAGAAGTTTGGGGTTGTTGTCATGGTAGCTAGGAAACATCTAGAAATTGGTCATCTCCAGACCGCCTGTGCCAGGAACATTCCATGGGGGACAGAACAACTCCACAGGGTGCGGGACAAAGGTCTTGAGGTGGGGAGGGGGATCTAGGGGGATGGGCTTTAGGGGCCTTGGCTTGCAAGCAAGACTTGAGTGTGCAAGGAAGATTGCTCCTGGAACAGAACCTTCCACATCCCTCTGGGGGCCGTGCCCACTAAGGGCTTCTGAGCTCTCTCTGTCCCGTTTTCAGGAGCCTTTCTAGGGCAGGATAGAGATGTGAGGTGCCGGGGGCATGGGGACCTCCAACGCTGCCTGCCACCAACAGCACCAGACCAGGCAGTGGGGACCAGGCCCTCCGCATGGAGAACACCCCTTCTCTGGCCATCCTTGGTTGACTCGCTGTTCTGTTCCCGCAGGTTCCCCACGTGGCACATCCCACTGGCACGGAAGAAAGGAATTCCAGCCCACGGAACCACAGGGCTGCTGCTCCACCCCCAGCGCCGCCAGGGACCTCTCAGGCTCCCATGGGGGGGGCAAGGGAATGGTTTGTGACTCTCCCCCAGTCACCTCGCCCTGATCATCCTCCGGCCTCGGGCTGCAGACAGACCCCAAAGAGCAGGCAGGGCCTCCTGGTAGGAAAAAAACAAACAAACGGCTTTATTCCGGAGGAGCCGGCAGTTCCCGGCCCAGCTTCCCTCTCTGTTGGTGGCCCTGGCATCACGCGGCTCCCGGCCTCAGCCTCCTTCCCTGGGCCACACGGCGCCAGGGAGCCGCGCTGAGCTCTGCCGCGGCCTCTCCAGCCCACTCTGCGTCCCCGCACTCGCGTGTGCGCACGTGCGTGTTGGGGGTGGGGGACCTCGATCCCTGCAGGGCAGAGCCGGCTGGCCAGAGGCGCCTGTTCCTTCCTCCTCAGCGGCAGCCCCCCTGCCGTCAGATCTTGGAGGACTCCAGGCACGGGTTCCAAGGCTCGGGCGGCTCCCGCAGCGCCCGCAACTCCCGCAGCTCCTGCTCCAGCGCCTGGTTGCGGCGGTACATGTCCATGTAGCCGGCCTGGATCTCGCGCTGGTAGCGCAGCACGCGCTCCTTCTCCAGCTGCCACGTGCGCCGCTCCTGCTCGAAGCGCAGTGCTCGCTCCTGCCCGCGCAGCCGCTCCTGCAGCAGCTCGGCCCGCAGCTGCTCGGGGCCTGCGTCCGCCGCCTCCCCGCCCGCGCCCGCCTCCCCCAGCAGCCCGCGGCTCTTGCAATCGTCCGTCTGGCAGGCGGCAGGGCCGTCCGTCGGGGCCGCGCCGTCCCGCACCGCTTCACGCAGCCGCGCCAGCTCGGCGTCCTGGGCCTGCGCCTGCGCCCGGCAGCCGCGCAGCTGCGTCTTCAAGTTGAAGATCTCCGCCAGCTTCTGCGCCAGCTCGGCCTGGGCCTCGCGCAGCTGCTGCTTCAGCAGGCTGATCTCCGCCGTCTTCTGGCACACCTGGGGGGGGGGGGCGGGTACGGGGGCTTGGTTCTCGGGAGCCTGGGGGGGGCACCCACCCGTGCACCCACCCCGCGGCTCCTCACCTCCCAGCGCGCCTCCTCCTCCAGCCGGGGGCTGCTGGGGTCGCCCTCCGCGGGGGCACCCGGACCGCGGGGCTCGGGCCCCAGAAGGCCCTGCTGGGCTTGCAGCTCCTTGCGCAGGCGCCGCTGCTCCTGCTCGGCCACGAAGAGCTGCAGCTGCAGGACGCGCTCGCTGCGCTCGGCCTTCTGCGCCACCTCCTGCAGCCGCTCCACGTACAGGCGCTTCAGCTCGGCCAGCCACAGCCGCTGGCGCTCCTCCAGCACCTGCGGGCCACAGCCACACTGGCCCCAGCTCGCCGAGGGCACCGCCTGCCCCACGTGTCCGCCCCACCCCCTCCCCGCTCGGCTCCCCGCTGGAACCTCCAGGACACTCTACCCCATGCCCTGGAAGGGGTCAGTGGCCACTTGGCTCCACCATCTTTTTCTTTTTTGGGTTTTTAGGCCACACCCGGTGGTGCTCAAGAGACCTATGGAGGGTCTGGGATGGAACCCCCGGGGGTCTGCACAAGGCAGGCACCCTGCCCCCTGAACATTCTTTCTCACGTCCGACAGTGCTCAGGGGTTATTCCGGTTCTGCACTCAGGACTTACTTCTGGGGCTTGGGGGACCATATGGGATGCCAGGGATTGAACCCAGGTTGACTGGCTGCAAGGTGACAGCCTGCCCTGAGTATGTTGTATCATTCGGACCCCCACCTCCACCATCTTCTTTTCTCTCCTTTTTTGGGGGCTGGGGGGCATGGGGCCACACCGGCGGTGCTCAGGGGTTCCTCCTGGCTCTGCACTCAGGAATCACTCCTGGTGGTGCTCAGGGGACCATTAGTGATGCTGTGGGTGGCACCCGGGTCAGCTGGATGCAAGGCAAGCGCCCGACCCGCTGTGCTACCACCTCAGTGCCCTGTCCACCATCTTCCAGGCCCCGCGCCTTCCCTGCAGGCAAAGCCCCTCACCTGCGTGAAGGGGCTGGAGGCGTCCTCATCCCCCAGACCCCTCTTGAGTTCCTCGCAGGCCTCAGGCAGCACCTCCTCCTTGGGGGGGCAGGAGAACTCGTAAGGGGGGGGTGGCTCGGGCAGGCAGTTCACAGCCTCCTTGGGGCTCCGTGAGGCCCGGTCCAGGGAGCCCCCGAGGTGAGTTACATGGCCCAGCGGGGCGTTGAAGGGGCCGGGGCTGCGGCTGAAGCTGCCACCGCTGGACGAGTCGGACAGGCTGGGCTCGGGCTCGCGACTGGCCTCGTCCAGGCTGAGTGCATGCAGGAGGCGGGCGCGCGCCTGGGCCTGGCTGACGCGGGGTCCCGGGCTGGGGGGCGGGTGGCAGGCCAGCGTGTGCAGGCTGCCGTTGCTGCGCCACAGCTTCTGGCCCTTGTGGGCGGCCAAGCTCTGCATGGACAGGAAGCCCTTGCCGCTGCCCCCCACGGGCTTGAACACGGACGGGCGGATGCGGTACTGCGGGGAGATGCAACAGAGACAGAGATGAGACAGAGACCTACCAGCAGGCAGATACTTCCCCGCCCCAACCCCCCCGGGGTCACCCACCTTGTCGAAGCGCCCTCGCTCAGGCAGGGAAGTCTTGCTGAAGTCCCCGGCGCGGGGGTGCTCCCGGTAGCAGAGGGTGGCATAGTCGGCGGGCTCGCCGCGGGCACTGCGCTTGGGGGTCCGGCTGTCCTTCTTGGGGAGGTGCAGGTAGCTGAGCAGCTCCCGCTGGCCCAGGCCCTTCCGGAGAAGCCCGTCAGGCTGCCGGGAGCCCCGCGGCCCTGCCAGCGCTGCCCGCAACTCCTCCGGGGAGAAGTCCTGGCGCTCCAGCAAACTGCCCACACTGCCCATGGCCGAGGCCGCAGGCGGGGGGGCTGTGCCCATGAACAGTCAGCAGGCCTCTGGCGGCGGCTCCTGTGTGTTGGAGGGCACCGTTAGCTGGGGGGTGGCTCACCCAATTTCCAGCTACTGGCCCAACCTGCCCAGACCCAGGAGAGGCAGATGTGGGTAGGCAGGGGGGGGTCCTGGAGAGAATCCAGAATGGGGTACGCGGGCGGGTAAAAAGAGGGTCCCCAAGGGGCTGGAGCGATAGCACCAGTGGGTAGGGCGTTTGGCTGGTCCGCGGCCGATCCGAGTTCGATTCCAAGCATCCCATATGGTCCCCTGAGCACCGCCGGGGTAATTCCTGAGTGCAGAGTCAGGAGTAATCGCTGAGCATCACCGGGTGTGACCCAAACAGAAAAAAATAAAAATAGGGTCCCCAAGTCTCAAGCAGGCATGAGGCTGTCAGCCTCTGGCCCGGCTCCTGCTACCCCCAATTCCCCATATGGCTAGTGATCTCAGCCCCCTGGGGACGCTCTGTTTCCTGTAAAGGGATGAGGCCAGCATGCTCACAGGAAGCACCTGGCATGGGAGGGTGGAGGGGGGCTGCGGCAAACAGGAAGTGGGACCCTAGGGGAGGAAGGACGAAGTGGGACCCTAGGGAAGGAAGGACGCGGGGACAACAACGCAACCATTCTGGACCAGGTGCTCAGGGTGTAGGTGGGGGTGCATGGGGCGCAGCGAGTCCGGCAAAGCCCCAACCTGCCTGGCAGGGCTGTCGCACCTCCAGCCCATCCTGAGACTGTGACCCAGTGACGCGGGCAAGGAACGGATGGGGGTTAGGGAACAGAAGCCCAGGCTGGGTGCATGCAGGCCTGGCAACACAGAGAAGCATGGATGCACAAAGGCCACGGGGCCCGGTGATAGAGTGACCAAACCTGGGCCAGCAGGGCCTGTCCCTGTGTCGGGGACCATCTCAGAGCTCAGCACGCCAGGTACCTCAAAAGGAGGAGGTCTGAGAGGGACCCCCACTCTGCGCCCAGCAGCACGATCCCTGTCCCGCACAGCTGCCCGCCAATGCGCCCCCCATCTGCTTCCAGAATCCCACCCCAAGGTCCCAAACAATGGCTGCTGGGAGGCTCCACCTCCTGGCAGGCTTCCGGGATTTGTGTCCTGGAAGACAAAGTGCTGGGCAGGGGGTTGGGGGGCGCCAGGAGGGCACTGCCTGCTCCCCTCAGCTTCCAGGGCTGTGAAGGGAGGGGTGGGTCCCAGAGCTCAACCCTCTGGAAATGTCTGGGGGATCCTGGAGCTCAACCTGGGGGTGTCCCAGACCCCAGCCAGGGGCGGGTCACGGGGCACAAAGGTGGGTACCGGGAGGTCTGTGATGTGGCTGATGGTGACTCCCCCAGTTCCCGGCCCAGGGCAGAGCAGATCCATGCTTGGTGCTGGACCCCCAGTACCCAGATCACGGGGAAGGACCCACTGTGGTCCCCTCCCACTATAGACACCCCTGCACCCAAAGGTCCTGGAACCCTCCTTAGGGCCCCATAAGAACCTGGGCTCCCACTCTCTGTGTGAGGCAGATGAAAGGTGGGGAGACTCTACCTGAGTGCTGTCGCCTGAGGCAGGTGGTGCCAGGACAAACCCCTCCCAGAAGCACATCCCCTAACACAGTCCCGGGTAGCCCCACCCCAGGCACCCTACATGCCCTTCCCCAAAGGTCACAAGACATGAGAACCAGTGTCCCACCTACCAGCAGGGGGTTAGTGTCAGGGACCCACCTGGAAGAGATAACCCCCCTCAAGGTGCCCTTGGAGGCACTCACATGCTGGGCTTCGGGGGGACACAGACGGAACCCACAAGCTCTGAGCACTTGGCCTGCAGGGTGTGTGAGGCTGCCGGTCCCCAAGACCTGGGCTCAATGCTGAGACCGTCCCCTCTCAAGCTCCCCCCACCCCTCCATTCCTGCCTGTTGCCTGGGAGCCTTTCCCCGGGGCCCCACAGGCTCCTGGGCATGGCTTCCTTCCCCCAACCCCATCATCACCCAGGGTGGGGTCATAACCAGTGCTGCCTGCCTCTTTGTCAGGACCCCCAGGGCAGATGGAGGGACCAGAGCTGGGGAACGCCTCATAACCCACGAGAGTCAGCTGGTGCAGTGGACGCAGGGAGGGGCTTGAGGCTGGTGCCCCAAGGTCGCTCTCAGTTCGGGAGAAAGGCTCCAGCGTACAAGTCCTCCCGAGCCTGCCCACCTCTGGACAGAAAGTTCAGGATGGAAGTGGGGGCCAGCCCCAGGGGAGGGGATCACCAGCTGCTGGGGATCAGCTTTGTGGAGGGGCGTGCCTGCAGCTGCCCGGAAGGAATGGGACAGGAATGTGCCCCCCCACCGGCTCCCTTGGGGCCGGCGAGGCTGGCGACGCCGGGTGTAACCAGCAGCGACGCTGGCCCCCAGTGCCTGCTAGTGGGGCGACAGCTCTCGCGGCTCATCCCCTAACCGGCTGGGTCACTCTGCCCCACTGCACAGACAGGGAAACCGAGGCTCGCAGAGACAGCTAGGGGGAACCCGGGGCTGCGCCCTCCCGGGGGTGGCGGCCGCGGGCGGAGCGCGCCGGCTTCAGTCTGGCACCTGCACCCACACACGCGCCGGCCGGGAGCGCCTGGACCGGGCCGGTCCTCCTGGGCCGGCGGCGCCGGGACCGCAGCTCGGGCTCGGGGCGGCGGGAGGCGCCGGTGCCGGCGAGAGTCGGTGCGATCGGTTCTGGGGAGACGCGCCCGCGCCCCGCTTTCGGCCTCGCTCGCGCTGGGCCGGGTCCTGGGGGTGTCCCCCTCCCTGCGATGCGGGGCGGGGAGGGAGGGTGCCCGGCCGCGGCCGGCCGGGAGAGGGGGTGGCTATTCCCTGAAGCGCGGGGTCCTGGGGGGCGACCCTTTCTGGGGGCTCCCGGCGCCGGAGGCGGGGCTGGGCTGAGGCCGAGTCGGGACCCGCGCCCCGGGGCCGGCACCGAACCGCGGGGCTGGAGGTGGGGCCGCGCTCGGACCCCGGGCGGGCGCGCTCCGGGTCACCTGCCGTCGGCGTCGCAGGGGGTCCCCGCTCCGCGCCGAAAGGTGCCTGCAAGCCGGGGGCCGGGGGCGCGCGACGCTCGCGGAAACCCCGCCGGTGACTGGCTGCGGGGGGCCAAGGTCGCGGGGTGGGCGCCCCCCTCGCGGCCGGCGCCCCCCGCCCCGCGCACGCCCCGCTCACCATGGCTGTGTCCCCGGCGAGGACTCGAACCTCCGTCCCGGGCCCGGCGCCGGCCCACACTGAGCCCAGCCGGGCCGCCGGGGGCGCGGGGGAAAACGCGGAGGGCGCGCCCGGAGCCGGCTCGGCGAGGGCGGGACGCGCCGGGCTCCAGGCGGCCAGAGGCGGAGGGAAAACCCGGCCTGACTCACCCGGCGCCGCGCGCAGAGCCGGCCCGGCCCCCGGATGTGGGGGGCGGCACCCCCTCCCCCGCGCCCCCCGCCGCCGGCCCGAGCCCCGCCCGCGGGCGCCGCCGCGGCCGAGCCCACCTCGCGGGCCCCCGCGCCAGCTCCGCCCGGGAATAAAGCTCCACCTGGAAGGCTCCCGCGCGCAGAGCACTTCCAAGAAGTGCAGAAATGCTCCCCGGCTCTCCGCCTTTCCCACCGAGGCTCTGGGCGCTAAGAAACATTTTTTTTTTCTTAAATGTGTGCCCTTCTAGGGGCAGCGAATCCGGAGCTTTCGGGGGCCAAGTTGATAAAAGGAGTGAAAGGGCGGTGCGAATTTGTGGAGAAGGAGTCGCATTCCTGCAGGCATTGCCGCCGCCGCAGCAACACACTTTATTCTTTAGATTTTTTAGCTTGGAGCTAGGGGTGGGCGGGAAGGTTGGTCACACCCAGCGATGCTCAGTGCGTATTCCTGGCTCTGCACTCAGCAATTAATGCTGGTGGTTGCTTAGGGGTCTCATATGGGGGTCAGGGGGTGAACCCGGCTCTGACACGTGCAAGGCGAGCACTTTACACGGTTGTACTATTCCTCCAGCTCTAGGCAACACACTTTAGGTGCGTTTCCCCAACACAGAAACATTTTGCACGTGGTCCAGTCATTCCAGGTGGAATGAAAACAGGAACTCAGACAGTACTTGCCCGTGAAGGAGTTTCCAAGGGGAACGCTTGAGGCAGAGAAGTGACTCAAGGGGCTGGAGCACCTGCTTTGCATGAGGGAGGCTCTGCTTCCACTAAGCATCACAGGGAGGGAGTTTGGAACACAGATCTGGGAATAGTGCTTGGTCACTGAGTGTGGGGGTCTGTCCCCCAGAAAACAAAACCAACAGAGATGCACAGTGCATGCAAAAATCCACCAACTACCCCCTCCATGGCAGACCTTGTGGAGGCACTAGTCTTGTTTGGAAATATTATTCAGCCCTGAAAAAGGACCAGGTTCCTTTCTGGATCTGCTCATCATTCACAAGCCTCCTCATGATCACACAGAGTAACAAAGGATCATATGGAAGGGCTGCTGTGTAGGCGGGTCTTCTGCAGAGGAGACAGAGGCTGCCAGAGGGACAATGACAAGCACACCTGTATTGGCACAGGGATCAGCAAAGTGTTTGAGAACCTGGCAGAGGTGGTGGCTGCCCAGCAAATGTACGAATGTGCTAAATACCAGAAAATTGGATCCCAGAGATGGCAATGGGTAAAGACACCTGCCCTTACATCCCTTGGTACCCCCTAAACACCTGTGCTCTGCTGGGAATAGTCCCGGAGTCCCTGAGCACTGCCAGGAGAGGTTGGTGGCCCTTGGTACACAGGGCACAGCGGTAACACATTCCCAGCCTTAACATTTGATTGTCCCACCTGGCTATCAAGAACTGCCAGGAGTGCCTCCCCATCCTCACCCCAAAGAAAACCTCAATGGAGTGTCCACTTCATATATATATATATATTTACATATATATAATGAGGGGTTACACCCAGCGATGCACAGGGGTTACTCCGGGCTCATGCACTCAGGAATTACTCCTGGCAGTGCTTGGGGGATCATATGGGATGTTGGGTATCCAACCCAGGTCAGCCGCATGCAAAGCAAATGCCTTATCCGCTGTGCTACCGCTCCAGCCCCTTTATTTATATTTTTTATTTG